GGGGCGGGGGCAACGCGCGGGAAATCAGGATGCCGCGAAGTGCGCGGGTTGTTTCCCAAAGTAGAAAAAACCCGCCAGGAACCCAAATTTGCTGCGCAGAAAGGCTGGCAAGTTACTTGGGGCAGTTTTTCTTGGGACAGGTCTCCGAGGGAGTGAGAGCCAGCGGCGGTTCCCGCTGAACTCTCCTGCGAAATCCTCTAGAAAGTCAAAATCGACAAATGGGCAATAAAAACTTGAAAAGATACCCTGTCATTAGGGAAATACAAAACTACAAGACAGCACTCCCCTGGAAGTCTATAATTAAAAAGATAGACAATAACAAGCATTGGTAATGGAAATGGATGTGGAAAATCATACATTGCTAGTGGGCAAGTAAACTGCAGGTGCTTAGGAAAACCTGTCAGTTCTTCAAAACTATGAAATTATATGACTCAGCAATTCCACTCCTAAGGATGTAAGAGAAATGAAAACATGATCATACAACTTTAAGACAAATGTTCATAGCAGCACTATTTATAATAGCTAAAGTGGAAACAACCCAAATGTCCATCAACTGATGGATAAATAGTTAGGAATATTCACACAATGGACTAATATTCAACAATAAAAAGGACATGAATGACCCTTAAAAACATTTTAAGTGAAAAAACCCCCACATATTGTATGAAATGTCCAAACAGGCAACTCTATAGGAAGAATGTAGACTTGTGGTTGTCTAGAATTGAGAGTGGAGAAAGACTGCTAATGGGTATGGAGTTCCGTTGAAGAGAGAAAAATTTTCTAAAATCAGCTTGGGGTGATGATTGCACAATCCTGTGAATACACTAAATACCTAATGTACACTCCAAATGGGTGAACTGTAAGGTATGTGGATTACACCTCAAGAAAGCTTTTTTAAAGAGGGAATGGGTGTGATTCTTTCCACTGGATGAAATGATGAAATGCAAATATGACTGGTGCCAGCGAAGCTATCTGGAGACCTCGAGTCAACTGGTGCTGAGGTCTGCTGATTAACAATACAGGAGACATTGTTTCATGAAGTTGATCTAGCAACCCTAAACTGCTTCCCTCTGGACTTTTGCATGGGAAATAAAAATTTATTCTGTAAACCATTATTATTTTGGATTTCCTATTACAGCAAAATTTAATCCTGAAGTATGAACTACCCTGTCTTTCCACTTTCTATGCCTCATTCCTTAATTTAGAAAGTGGGTACCTTCAGTTTCCCGATTGAAGCCCTAGCAAATGCTGGAAGGATAATTAGGTAATGTAGGTGTTAAATATTTTATTCCTTGGAAACTAAACATAAACATAAAATGAAGTTTCTTTGGATAATCTACTTAAAAAATTTTCTTTTGGTTGGGGAAAGTAAATAGGCTTTTATTTATTTTTAGAGGAGGTACTGGGGATTGTACCTAGGTCTCGTGCATGCTAAGCATGTGCTCTACTGCTTTAGCTATAACCTCCCCAGAGATAATCTTTTAAACACAGTACTTTATATGCAATTTTAGCAGGTTTGGGAAACACTTCACTCACAATACTTGTAACACTTTGTTGCACATACTACCATTATTTTAATTTTGAAAGGAAGCAGACAGAAAAAAACCTTCCCTCTTTTTGCACAGAAGTGCATCCCCCCACAAAGTTACTATTCTACTTAAAGTGATGGTATATTCCTAATGCAATTTTTAAAGACAAATAAATTAGATTTCAATAAATAAAACAGGCTTACAATAAATAACCAAGAAGCTTACCTCTTAAAACTAAAGACTGATACACTTAAAAATATCTAAAGAGATGCACACCAAAATGTTACTAGTGATTATCTCTGAATGGTGGAGTAATAGGTGAATTAAAGATAATTTTAGCATAAATACATTTTATAATTTTTTTACAATGAGTATGAATTATCTGTGCGAAAACCACACATTTAAATCAAACGACAAAGAGCCAGTAACAATGGTTAAAGTATCTGGCAAAACAGAAGGCACCTAATAAATGTCTGTTGATTCTCAAACTGAATGACTGTGCCAAATAAAAATGACAAATGCATCCATATGTAACTACTTTACACAAACAAGTAGAAATTTCACAGATCCTTTTAATAAACAGTATTTCATCCTTAAGACAACAGTTCTTTAACCATTAGCAAGATTGCTTTGAAAATGCTTTAAGGCACTGAAATAGATGCATAAATATTTTCAACACAGATATAATGAAGCGTATTCTCAATGAGAGAAGTATATAAAATAAATAAGATCACTTTTATAACCTGGATAAAGCATAGTAATTTAACCAATAAATTAGAATCTGTAAATTAGATATGTACTTCTATATATCAGTCCGAATGACAATTTTAAAGAAACTGATTGATGCCAATTTTGAAACAACTCCCTAGGTCAAACTGTATTCCACATCTAAGATGCTCACTTATTTTCAAGTATGCCTTCACTTGCTAAATTCAGTTTGTTTTCTAAAGTCAATATACTTTAAGTATTCTACACAATTAACAACTTTAGAATTTTAAACTTTCACATAAAAAGCTTTATCAGATGGCTCTCACTTTAGAAAACCTTTAAGAGTATCATCCACATTAAAGTTTTCAGTTACAAAAACGAGAGTTATTGCTAATGACAGGCCTTTCTCTATAGAAACTTCTCACTGGGGTGTATTCTACAGGTACATACAAGAAAACCTCTAATGTGCCTTCTGGTTAATAACTACTATAAGCTGGAAAAGTCACAAAGGAGGCTTTTCTATACATACAAGAAAAATATTTCCAACGAGAAGCCCCTTTATAGATATATATGGAGAATCACATACTAATAATTATGCAAATAAAAATTATAAAATGCTTCATGATAGGCCTATATGAGACATTTCTTACAGATTCTTGAGAATACATTAATCATCTTGTTATATCTGATTTTACTAACCCTTCATTTTTGTAAGAATGCCATTATTTTTCTTTAACTAGAGAGAGAGCTCAACCATGGCTTTAAGTATCTGTTCATTTCTGAGGGAAAATGACAAAAGGAAAAGGCTCTCCTTTGTCTTTCCTTTCTTCCTGATAAAAAGACAGACTTCTACCATGTGGAAGGCTGACAGCTAGAAAAGGAAGCATTCTTAAAATGGACCTCAAATAGAAGACATATCTTATAAACCAGGTCATCCTGGTTATGTGTGTATTTCCTTTCTGTTATCCCTGAGCCATTAATTAAAAAAAAAAAAAACTCATTTAAATGTTGCAGCCTTGTCTCAGCTGTGTTTATAGGAGATAAAGCACAGGTTTATGTCATGATTAGTTCAGAGTTAAAGCAGGGAGGGGGAACAGTCTAAGAACAAACTGTGTGGGATTAAGATAAATTTAAAAGTCTAACAGTTCCATAGCAGAGGAGTCTTGCACTGTCCATGGTGAAGCATATAGGTTTTATTTTGTTAGGGTGGAAGCTTAATGCAGGATTTCCTAAAGACTGGTTTGTCTACTATATACCTAAGAATCACTTGAGATTAAAGATGTAGAGATCTGGAACCCATCCCAGATACAATGAATCATTAGAATGTGTGGTAGGTGGCAGGAACAGGCATTCTGAAAAGCTTCCCAAGTGATTCTTACTCATTAAGGCTGAGAATCACTGCTTTATAAGACTCGTTCTTACAAGAGGTCTGCAAGGTCCAAACTATTTTCATAATCATACTAAGATGTTATTTGCTTTCTTTCACTTTCTCTTGAAGGTACAGTAGCATTTACTAGCGGCTACATGATGTGTGATATCGCAACAGATTGAATGTAGAAGCAGATGAGATTCCATCTGTCTTTAAGTCAGAGAGTAAAGATATCTGCAAAATTGGAATACAATGCCACATTTCTCAATCTTTTCACATTTTAGAAAATATTTTTCATAAAATGCTATACATTTATTATTTTAATGAATAAATATTTTATAACTTTTATTTTAAATATTAATATATATAAACCCATATAAGCAGAAGGTCTTGAGATCAAAAAGACTGAGAACTGCTCCTTCCAGCAGACGTCCAGCACCCATGAACATTACTGCTAACAGTCATGACCACTTAGTTCCTTAGCACACTCAATGTATATTTCATTTTAACTATGATTCAATAGATCATCTGCAAAAAAAACCTTCTTAAACTTATTTTCAGGCAAGGGGATTTAATCTGACAGTGAAATGCTGAAGTATAACCATTTTTAGTTTAAAATCTAAGGTATGAAGTATGTTTTCCTGGGTGACGTAATGTGACAAATAATCCTTTATATTAATAAATAAACATGCTGACTGATATACGGAATAGAAAACCATACTTTACATGACGCATTCAAAAAATATTCATTAGTAATATGACAACACAAGCATTAGATTCTCAGTGAGTGATGGCAAACAACTGGCCCACTCCAAATGTCAGCTAAGAACAAATCCCTAATTTCTGAAAGAAAATAAAATAGGGGATGAACTGGGGTTCCTAGAGAAAAAATAATTTTTAAAAATTTGTATGTTTCAAAAATACTGAAATGTGGGTAGGCAGATTGATACTGACATTATACTAAGCTACACAAATTTATTCTTAATGAAAATACATCCCAGATACTGTTGCCAAATTAATATCTGAGTGTATCTTAACATTACAGAATGCAAATTGGGAATACTTTGAAGGTTTACGCATAGCTGTGGTGAAAGCAGTTCCTTCCAGCCTTTTGATTGCATATCAGATATAAAAAAATTATACTGATGTTTTTGACCTGCCATGTACAATTTTTTTTAATGTATTGCTATTTTAAAAAATCTGAGACAGTTAATATTTAAATAAGTCACTGCTGCTTGGGAATAAGGTTCGAATGAAAGATGTGGTGAACCTATTTGCTAATGTATACCCTATTAAGATTTTAAATGATACAGTTATTTAATATATTGTTACGTTGAATAATTGGTATTTGAAAATAAGTATATTTTTCTGGGTAGCCTTCCGGAAAAGTTCACAGAATACACTTTCCAGTCACAGTTTAAGCTGCTATCTTGTACTTATTTAAAAATCTCACCAGGAGGGAGCTGAATAGTGCCAAACCCAACAAATCTGGCTTTCCCCCACTTTGATTTGCATGTCCACTTACAATCATTTCTCTGGAAACTTTCCACTTAGTGTATCTAAAACCAATGTTATGAAAGTTCTTTAAAAGGTTCAGCAGTTTTCTTGAGTCTCTGAATGATTACAGCATTCTGCAAATCTGCTTCTTCCAGTGTGAGTGTTTCATCTAGCAATTTGAGGAAAGGAAGAGCTGTTGCCAGGGAAAAGGGAGGACTTCTTTGAGATCCTTGGTATTTTTCGATGAAGTCTTTGATGTGGCTTATCCTGTAAAATAGCACAAACTATTAATATAATTTTGTGAAAACTTGAATAAGCTAATTTAAGGTAAAAACTTGTGATGATATCCGGCTATGTTAGTGTATAGAATAATCCAATTATGATGAAAGAATTACTCATTTGAGCTATCTTTTAAAGGCTGATCCCTGATAATAGTAAGGAATTATTATTAATTATCTTGTATGTGACAGGGTTATTATTATAATCTGAGTACTTATCTTTAGAAACACAAACTGAAATATTTACATATTAAAGTATATGAAGTCTGTATTTGCTTCCACATAGTTCAATGGGAACTGAGTGATGGATTATTATCCCTTGTCTTTGCTTTTGCATATGCCTAAAAGTTTCTGTAATAGAAAGTCTACATATCCAGCTCTGAATGGATCAGAAGGGGTCCAACCAGTAATACTACAAAGACATAGATCGTATCTCTTAAATATCAGGTCATGTTATGCTTCAAGGTAATTAAGAAAACTCTTAACTCAGTGCAAATATATCTTCAGTTAGTAAAATGAACACTATAATGTAATATGATCACTGTAATCTTGAAGTCAGCCCAAAGTTATGTTCATGTAAGTATATGCATGTGTATTTAGAGAGACCATGTATTCAGTTCATCAAAACTAAGATGCCATTGATTTTAAGATCATTCTATATATTACTAAAAAAAAAAAATCCAGTTTATGACAAAATACTTTCTTAACACTTAGAATTTTTATATTTATTGAAAGAGCACTTTTAACTTATTGTCACATAAACATTCATCAAATCGCTCAAGTACTTCCGTCATAAAACTAGAATAAAAAGGTTGTCATCCCTAGCATTTGAACATTACTCAGATTCAGATCCTTCGAGTCACTTCTGATTCAGTCATTAATGTATGTGTTTTTCCACATACTATACCCCTCTGTATCATCAGGTGTGCTCATATAAAATTTCCTAAAAAAATGCCCCATTACTGTCTCTGGGGTGATCTTTCATTGAGCTGACACTTGATCTGCATGCTTTGAGGCAGATGCCAAGGCAAAGACAAATGTATCATGACTGTCATATGGCCAACAATAGAATATAGGATATATTCTCATTTCAGAGATGCTAAGATGTGAAAATATGTGCAAACAAGAATTAATGAAATATGACATCACTAAAGACAGAATTCTCACGTTCAGTCAATTAACTAATTGCCACTCTATTAACTTGTGCAGATTACCAGAAAAGTCAAGAAAATGGTCACTTATATTTATTTGGGTACCAAAAATTGGGTAACTAAAGGCTAAAGCTTACGGCAAAAATTATAAAAGGTAAGAAAACAACAAAGATTAAAGGAACTATGCGGTAAAAACTTAAAATATGACTGTGGTCTCTACAATACTGTTAAGAGGACAAAGAAATGCCACTCTGAAAAGCTGAAAGAGAAAAAAAAACAAATACTTATTAAGCTCAAAAAGAGGCGAGAAAGGAGGAATGAAAAATAAAAAGATGTGGGGTAAACAGAAATTCTAAGAGCAAGATGGTAGTCTTAAACCCAACTAGTCAATGGAGTAAATATTCTAATTAAAAAATAAAGCTTGGTTAATTGTCACTTAGTAAGTACTGTTGGCTAGACAAAGTTTTTAAAATGCTTCAAGTCATTCAGGGGAAAAAAAATCTAGGTGACCATTTGTTATGGAAAATGCCAGAAGTATTTTTCTAGGCAAAGAAGTTGGGATTAAAATATTTTATTTCCGTAAAAAGAAGCAAATTTGGACCAGAATAATTCTCGTTTTCACATCCTTAGTCTGCCCTCCTTTCCATTAGAAACAAATTTGGGTCACAGAAGCACTTTAAACACATGCTTCTTCTATTATGATAATCAGCTCTCTGATTCTAGGTGTCTAGGGTGATTCTGACATTAAGAAATATTTTAAGTGAAATGCCTTGAAGAGAGCTAAACACCTAGACAGCCCTCAGTAGATGGTAGCTAACTAAAAAGGAAACAAAAACACAAAACAGGAACCAAAAAAGACTGTTAGCCTACATATAAAAACTAAACTCAACTATTTACAAGAAACACTGTTAAATATACAAATACAGATAAATACACCACTAAGCTGAAATTAAAAGGAAGGAGAAAGATATACCATATCATGAAAGCGCACTATAAGGAAGCTGGTGTGACTATATCAGTTAACAGGCAAAGTAAATTTTAACACAAATTATCAGGGATTAAGAAAGACATTAGTAGTGCTACAGAGGCCAATCAATCAGAAAAAAATTGATCAATGTCTGGACCTAATTATATAGCTTTAACATATGTAAAGTAAATGGTGACAGAAAGAAAGGAGGACTAGACAAATCCACAATCATGGTTGGGGACTAGCACAATTCTTTAGGTAACTGATAAAATAAGCAGGGGGTAAAAGGCAGTAATTTAATATATTATAAAGTAACAATAATTAAGACAATGTGGAGTACAAAAGGAAAGACAGACAGATGCATCAAACAGAATGGAGAGTGCAGAACAGATCATCTGATTTACAAAAAGATGTCATAGAAACTGGGTCAGGGAAGAATATGCTTCTACAAATAGTGGAATAAAAAGGACCTGGCCATGTAACTTGCTCTGGCCAACAGGACGTGAGGAGAGTGATACACGTAAATGCTTGCTTAGTGGGACTAGCCCTCTTGAGCCTCTGCCCTTGCTATGAGAACTACAGGACCAGGTAGTTTGCTGATTCAAGAATGATGAGACACAAAGGAGCAGACTTAGGCTCACTGACAAGCAGCTTGAATTAGAACTCTCCTAGATGACGTGCAAATAAGTCAATGAGCTCAACTGAGATCAGCAAAGCCGCAACCACTGACACATGAGAAATAAAAACTTAATATTCTATGCTGAGATTTTTGTGACTGTTTACTGAGCAATGTTGACTGATACATCCACTGTAAGACGCCAAGTAGGGTTAAGACTATATCCAAATTGAGAGGGGAGAGGTGGTGCACAGCAGGCTGTCTCAAGTACAATAAAAAGAACATTCATACAGAGGAGTGGCCAACTCCAGTGTGTCACAACCAGAAGAGTAAAGAGAACAGCCAAGAATGGGGGAGGACAGGCAGCACTGACCGCCAGAGCCTGACAGGGTGAACAGCTCATGGGAGTGGTATGTCAAGAGGCCCAGCAGGAAGACGAAGGCTTCCATGTCAGGGAGAAGGTAGCAGTGGAAAGAAGTGACTGGTTACATACAACAAAACTGATCAACAAATCAATATATTAAGAATAACTAGTCAGGCATCTCACTGTGAAGAAGTTAGTTACAGATATGGAAGGGGGAAAACCAGAACAAACCTTGTGGTGGTGGATGGATAGAGGTATCTATGTGAATTCATGGCTTTCGACATGCAAAGATATAGAAATACAGATATAAATGTGTATGTGTGATGGGTCTCTCTCTCTCTCTTTATATGTATATACTTATGTGTCTGTACGTGTGTGTGTATGCATACACACTGGCAGCTCTTCCCACTCGGAGGGCCTGGGAGTGGTGGCAATAAGTATACCTAGTAACCAGATCCCGGCTTCTCAATACCACTGTCTACTAAAAAGCACCAGGGTTTCTTAGAAAAGGTACAATTGAAAATTTTGTGCCAGTAAATAAGAAAACACTCAAAGAATGATGGGAACCTGTAAAAAGTTTAAAGGAGGTCCAACTAACTGTATCCTGTACAATTTGGGCATTAAAATAAATACCTCTGGTAAGAGATTATAATTACAACTCACTCAATAAGATAGTTATTCATGAGTCATGGTTATGACTAGATAAAGGCATCAATTCTGTGATAGTCCTGCTAAAATCAGTGACCTAAATAAAATTATGAGAAACCATCAAATAAAAAATTGATCTGTAATTTAAAAAAATGTCAAGGTCATAAAACTCAAGGAAAGAGTGAGGAATTATTATTTCAAACTGAGACATGACAAGTAAATGCAATGCATGTTTCTGAATGGTCTTTGGTACAAAGGATGATATTAAACGTCAAACATTGACCAGCATCCAAATAACAGCTGACAAAAGTGAATCAATGTTAAATCCCCATCTAACCATGGCTCAATTGTGGTCACATGGGACAATGTCCTTATTTGTAGAAAATACAAACTAAAATATTTCAGGTTATGGGTCATCAGATTGGCAATTTACTGTTTTTTTGTTTTTGTTTTTAATATTCTGGAATAGCTTATTTCATCCAACTTGTTACTTGAAGAGTTTTACTTTTATACATCAATATGCAAAACAAATTTTTACATTACATTTAGTCATTACAGGTATCACAGAGAACTCAGTGCCCCCTCCTGGGTCTCAGGACAGAGAAGAGATAAAGAGCTTGTCAACTTGTTGCAACTACAAGGAGGATATATATACAAACACAACTGAAAAGGTAAACTTATAACCACAAAACCTTTCCCATGCTGTTATGACAAAGCTGCCTAGCTCTTAATGTATCTGATCTTTGCTTCGGATTCTTGAAAAGGGTTATACGCTTTTTGATATTCTTAATGATATCACTAAGGAAGAGCTAAGACACCTTAGACTATGGCAGAATAGCCTCAGAACATGTTGTGTAACAGAAAATGACTTTTTTTGGTGTGACACACTGTCAACTTACTCTTGAATCATTAGGGGAAAAAGTTCTTTATACTGTTCTTAAAACTTTTCTGTATGATTGTTTTAAAAAAATTATTTGAGGGGGAAGATATAGCTCAAGTGGTAGAGTGCATGCTTAGCATGCACAAGGTCCTGGGTTCAATCCCCAGCAACCCCTCTAAAAAAATAAATAAATAAACCTAATTACTTTCCCCTCTCCCCCCAAAAATAAATTATTTGAAAATGAGCAAAACAACTCAGTATTTTTTAGAGATACACATGTACTTGGTAAAACTATGAACAAAAGCAGAAAATGATTAACACAAAATTACAATCTCTTGCACAAAAGGAAAGAGATGTTCAGGCAAAGGAATACAAGATACATTGGTATATGTTAGAGCTAGGTGGTACATATATGTTTATTTTATTATTATTATTTTAACTAAGCATATGTATGTATAACATATGTTCTATTTATCTGTATAACATCCCCCAATTTTTGATGCTTTTAAATAGAGGGAAACCTATATACAGTATGTTCCTACTCTTAAAATGAAAAATATTTTAAGAGATAAAACAGTAGAAAAGTCCATCAAACTGGTAATAGTGATTATCTGTGGGTGATGGAATTTAAATTGACTTCAGTTTCAGTACTTTTCGGTATGTTCATTTTATACTACAATTAACAAAAATATGCACATAATGCCAACAATCAACTTAAAGACATATTGAAAATAATTCTTTTGAAATTATGTATCTAGTTAAGCAGGAAAACTAATGAAATGAAAAGAATGATAATCCATAAAACAGACTGAAAATACTTCATTAATGTCCAAGATTTTCATTGTCATGATATATTATGTTTAGAGAACTGTTTATTAAGAGTCTTGGTTAGTTCTTAAAAACAACTGCTGACTGATCTGAAATGAAGAAGTAAAATGAAAATTTAGGGGAAAAATCAGACAAATAGTGAAATGAAACAGAAGACTCACCTATGAGAAATGTTAAATTTCTGGACAATCCTTTTCCCATTGGCTAACCAGATCTGTATACTAGTGATGGGTTCCAGATTGTTTAGTGGAACAGTCGACAACTTATTTTTATTCTCTACTTCAATACTCTTTGCTTTAGAAACAATTTTTGGTGTGGCACTAAGAAAATCCAGACAACAAAGACAGATATATGTTTTTCATTAAGCAGAACTTCACCATTAAATAATTACTAAAAAACCTTTACACTAAGTATAGTTTTAGGAAGGTTTCAGCCAGTCACAGCTGTTCCCTCAATAACACATTAAGATATTAACATCAGTTATACCGACCATACACGATGATTATAGGAATCTAATGAAATACGCACATCCAAGTAATTTGTAAGCTTGTGGAGCGTTACGTAAATACACTGTTAGCAGTATTTGAAGAGTGCCTTACAGAAAAGAGAATTTTACAGTGTTGACAGATCTATAAACTTTACCTTTACCTACTCCTCAGGTTAAAATTTCTAAAAAATTTTAAGTTCTCTGTAGAGAACAGTGTTTGGGTTATAAAGGAAAAGAAAGGAAACGAAGTATTTCTTCATCATTCTGGCAGTCACATTTGGGTATTTTTATATGGGTAGATGAATACGTATACATATATTTTACCAATCTTGATAATTAATATACGGAAATTCATTTTTAAAAAGCAGTCTTATACCTAACCTCTTTGCATTTTCTGTCATAGGCATAATTAGGTAAGACGAAGACTGCAAAGTCTGAAAATAAAAAAGCTTTGATACTAACTTTATCAGGTATTTTTTCATTCTTATTACCTCAAAATTCAGATACTGGTCAAGAACACAATGTTGAAGGCATTGGTAACTATAATATAGAACTCCACATTCAAAAGCTACTCTATAACATTAATGGCAATGATCAAGTGGTGGATACAAGGAAGAAAAAATGATTTATCCACCCAAATTTGCTGAATGTCTTCAATAAGCCAGGCCCTTCTGATACGATAAAACAAAAAAAGGCTTCATGATTTTTTAGTGTAGTGCCAATATATGTTAATATAACAAGGTGAATATGACTTAGAAGTTCTCATAAAAGTTAACATGAAAAATCTCATTTCCAGTGAAGAGAAATGATAAACTCTATATATGTGGTCTACGTGGTAAAAATAATGACAGGCTGAATATCTGTCAAAACTCTGCTTATGGCAAGCACAGCGCAAGAGACTACTCACCTTCCCAGTCTGTGACCCTGTCCTGAGAAGGGCTGGAACACAGGCTTCGTTGACATACATACTTCATTTTTCTTATCTTCAACTTCAACATCCACCTCCTCTTTATCAAAGACTCCCTGTAATTCTAAAGGTAATTCCCTTGGAAAGTAAAGAAACAAAGTGATAAAGATCCTAATATGTTTTTTCTTTCTCTGAAAAACATTCTGTATGTAGAAATATATAGACGTTAAGAGGCATATAAAAACTAAATGTATTTAAAATAATATAATTAGATAACATGAATAATTAGAAGAACAATACAGAGTAATTTTTAAGACTACAAATTCACAAACAACTTAAGTTATTCAATGGTACCTAGAACACTAACATAATGAAATATTTGATGACTACACACTGCTAAACTTAAACAATTTGATCATTTCTATAGATGTCTAAATAGGACTAAAAATTTGCTAGAAAAATCAAGCTCTTATTTCATTTTTAAAGCGAAAATATAATTTAATCCAGAAATGACAAAACAAAAAAACAAAACATGATAGAATTTTAAAAATGTTTTCACATTTCATCCACCTAACAGAGATAGAGAAAGTGACATAGTTGGGACTGTCACTCAGTCTGAGGCTTTGTCTACTATACCACAGATGCCTCTCTTCTGAACAACATAAACTTTAGATAAGCAGGGACCATGTATGTTTTACTCATAAACATATTCAAATATTGAGTACAGTGTCTGGTACAGAGCAGGACTTAGACAGATACCTTTTGAATCTTATAATCTTTTAAATGTAGGGTCTTTTCTAAGGAGCAGTTGAAAGTTTATAATGTTACACTTGATAGATAAGTAATGAACTTCCATGGGGAAATTTTTTAACAATTATAAATTTTAACAAACTTTCATAAAATAATTGACTTTCTTCCTGGTAACAGAAATGATACCAATTAATTTAGTATATTCTTATGATTTGTGAACTTTTCTGTATATGTCATCCTCCAAAATTTTTATTTAAGAGTAAGTAATACATGCTTCTAAAAAAAGACACAAAAAAATGTAAACACATTGTCAATTCAGAAAGTGACAGTCCAAAAAAAAAAAAAGTGACAGTCCTTATAATTTCATTCTCATGCTAATAAAAACTTTCGGTTGTGTCTCCTATATTTTCTCTGTATATATAGTAAAATTCGACATAATTATTCTATTTTTCCCAATGATGGTATCATTCTACACACACTATTCTGTATTTTGGAAACTGCTTTTTCTTCTTTTTCTTTTAAAGCAATATACTATAGAAATCTCAAGTTAGTATATGGATACATGCCATTTATTTTTACCACATGCACACTATTATTTTGTTATAAAGTAGATCAAATGGCAAAAACACATCAAATATTCTTTCCTTCTCTTTCTTACTGATTTGTAAGAACTGTGTATATATTCCATTTATAGGCTATATGTGCAACAAGTATTCCTAGTTTGGTATTTGTCTTTTGCCTGTACATAGTGTCTTTTGGCTTATAAGTTTTTAATATTTACATAATCAAATTTATCCATCTTTCTTATATTGCTTCCAGGATTCAGGCCAACTATAGCTATATGCAACAACATGGATGAATAGCCTAAAGAAGTAAGCTGAATAGAAGGATCTGAATAGACATTTCTTCGAAGAAGATATACACGTGACCAATAAGAACACGAAAAAATGCTCAACATTACCGGTCATTAGAGAAATGCAAATCAAAACCACAATGAGATACCACTTCCTATTTACTAGAATAGTTATAATTAAAAAAAAAAAGACACTAATAAGTGTTGGTAAGGATATGGAGAAACTGGAATGCTCACATCATTAGTAGGAGTATAAAATGGTGCAGTCACTTTGGAATATAGATTGGTAGTTCTTCATAACAGAGTTAACAACAATTAAGCCCCTAGACATGAGAAAATTGAAAACATATGTCCACACAAAAACTTGTGTAAGAATGTTCATAGCAACATTATTCGTAATAGCCAAGATGTGGAAATGACTCATACATCTCTCCACTGATGAATGTGGTATATCCATACAATGCCACATCTGGCAATAACAAGGAATGAAAAAACTTAAAAGCTGTAATATGGATGAACTGTGAAAACATTACACTGAGTAATGAGAAAGAAGTCAAGACACAAAACGATTCCATTTACATGCAATGTCCAAAATAAGTAAATTCATAGAGATAGAAAATAGATTGTTGTTGTGTAGGGCTGTGAGAAGGGGGAATGGAAAGTGATTACAAGTATAAGATTTCTCTTTAGGGTGATGAAAATGTTCTGGAATTCATAGTGCTGATGGTCGCATACTGTGAATATACTAAAAAATAATGGATTGTATACTTTAAAGGGATAAATTTTATAGCAGGCTGATTATATCTCAATAAAGCTGTTATTTTAAAAAATATTTAAATACAAGGATAGTTAACAGATTTTTTTATAGTGGGAGACAAGAAATAATCTAACTGTCAACCACTAAGAGTCTATATAAAAATTATAGGTCATCGCTATGATAAAAGAATATGCAGATGTATTGAAATATTTCAGGATAAAGTCAAAATTTAAAAAATATATATACATATATGCACATTATATATGAATCCATGCGCAGAAAATGCCAAAATGAAATTCAACAAAAAAGTTAATGGCAGGGGGTGGGTATAGCTCAGTGGTAGACTGCATGCTTAGCATGCATGAAGTTATAGGTTAATGGCAATAATACTTTTGGGTAATGAAATTATAGGTGATTTTCAGGTTCTTAATACTTAAAAAATTTTCTAGACCACGTACATATAACACGTAAAATCCTAAGTATGTAACAGAAACACTACAGGGCAATAGAAGTCACAATTCAAAAACTATAAAGTTATTCAAACATAAGCATTAAGTAACTAGGATGTGACGTAGTATTAAGTAACACTTGGTATTAAATAACACTTGGCAAAGTGAATTAGTTTAAGTCAGATTTTGGTTGATCAGAATTCAAATCCCTAACCTTTCAAAGACAGCTGTGGCTCTCTTAACAAAATCCATCTTATGAAAATCTGAATTTATAAAATAAAAAGTATCTGTGAATGCATAGGGATGTGTGAACAACATTAAACACTAATCTTCCAAATGAAACATATCTAATATCCTTCTGTTTACAAAGATCGCTTACCCTTTTTTGATGGAGTTCAGAAACTGCTGACTTGCACCATCAGAATAACTTCTGAAATCATCATTGACTGTGAATCCATTTTTCCATAATTTTATACTTACATCTACCTGCAAAGCAGTAAGAAACAAAATGCATGAAGTTAATAAAAAGTACTAGTAGATTATAAGTCCTTTGAAAATTTCTTCTATCAGTGTAAATTTTATATATCTTTTTTTTAAAAATTGAGATGAGACATAACATTGTATTAATTTTAGGTGTACGACATGATGATTTGATACATGTATATATTGCAAAGTGATTATTAGAATAAATTTGGTTAACATCCATTACCACACACAGCTACAAATTTTTAAAAATGTATCATTCTTAAGTATAAACTTCAAACGTAAAATATCAAAAATTATAATGTATATACATAATATGGTTCATAATAAACGTTTTAAAATAAATCATTAATAGTTTTAAGATAACACATTTCCAGAAATATTATGTGTCTTGCCTCAGAGGACACTAAAACTTTTGGCTCAGAACAGACTTCTCAACAGTTAGAGAAGGACTTTGAACAGAAGGGGAAAAAAAACCCCTGAGTGATTAATTAATGGCTTTTCCTTCAAATATAAAATATCAGTGCTACTGTTATCATCAACATTTCATCTCTCAACATCTTGTTGATTAGCTCTTATGAACTACTACTCACTCATTCAAAGTCACTGTATAAATCTAGAAAGGTTCAGAAATACAGTACAATGCAGGGATGCTTCAGGCTGAACACAGAAGGACTAATTTAAAACTGTCTAAGAGGATATCAGACCATTACAGCCCCTCTCTTGTCTCTAGCATTTATTCAATCATTTATTCAATCAACACATGTCTATTTTGTCTCATACATAACACACTTCATTAATATGTTAGGGAAAACAATCATAATAATGATAGGATATATTATTAGCCTGCCTACCTAATTTACCCATCTATCTGAGAGACCACTCAGTATGTACCAAACACTGTTTAAAGCACTTTTCTCATATAAATTTATTTAATCCTTCAAAAATCACACAAAATGGTATTATTATCCTTTTTATAGATGGGGAAATAGAAACACAGAAGATTAATTAAACTGCTCAATGTCACACAGTCAGTAAGGGTAGAGCCAGGGGCCAGAATCCATATTCTTAACCACTATACTATATTGCCCATTTTTATCTATAACCAAACTGCCAAGACCCTGCTCTCTTAGTACTCACATAGAAGACAGAGAACAAAACAAATAGGAGAAGAGACATAAACATAAAGACACTGAGGAGAGTAGAAGAATTTTAAAAACAAAAATCCAAAAATGATAATTAATACACATAAGAGAAGATGTTTGAAAGGGAGTAGGGAGGGAATATTCTAAGCAAAAAAGCTCTTAGCAAATGAAAATGGAAATTGAATTTAATAAAAAAAAAAGTCTAGAATCTGAATGTGGAATCTGAAACTTAATTATCTTTTTGTACATCTGTTATAATCCTTGTGACACTTGTTTTTTAATTCATGCATCATTTTATAACATCACGTATTGATCATATGGAAAATACTGGCTCAGTGATTTATGTGAATCTTCTAGATGTTGATATATTTCATTACATGATATAGATAAAAAAGACACATTTATTAACATGACAATGATCCCATCAGAAAAATCTTTTAAGTTCTGGGAAGCACTCAGGTACATGATGACAGTTTATCAAAATTCTTATTTTCACTTAAAAAAGTCAATAAAATCAAATCATTTGCAATAAATATTGTAAGTTATTTTCCTTGAAGTGCCACTCACTTCATACATATTGAGAAAACGTCTGCTGAATATCCAAGTCTGAATAATCAGTTGTCTATAAATCACTTTCACATAAAAACAGTACACCGTGAAGAAGCAGGTTGTTCATCTTGCCTCTCAAGAAACTGTACTTTTCCTTAAGATCCTTACATACATTGCAGAAATGCTTTATGTATAGTTCACATTTTGTCAGACAGTATTTGGAAGATGTGTACTGAAGAGCTGGGATTTAATAAGATTTGTAAGTCTTACTGGTTCATCAAGGACATTCTTAATTGAAACCAGTGTTTTTCCCCTCTACAAGTATAAGGAAAGAATGTAGTAATTACTGGTACAGTTTGGTGCTACTGGCCTCCGAAGGGGCCAGTTTAACCTGTCATTGCTTTTGCAGTATCAGTGAAAATTCAACACAGTGAAAGATATAAATAATATCTATTATTATTAAAACAGTTTTGACCTCTGAAGGTCCGTATTTTGAGAAATACTGGGAGAGAAAAAAGTTACGGACACTTACCTGTTTCTTTTGTTCAGTTGGGGTCAAACATTTGGCACCAACCTTCTGAGCTTCCTCAAAAAGACTGTCAACAAAATATTCACAATTTGTCTGTCGATTATCACTAAGAGGCTGGTGGTCAGATCCTGTTTCACAAACCCTACAAACAAAAAAGAAAACAAGCAGTAGTGGTCACACACTCTCTAAAAATTTACATAAATTGTTCTAGTTAATGGATCTTGAACTGACATGCTACCTCCATATCCCCAGCTAAGACTCTTCTAAGTTAAGATAGTAGATATGGGGCCTTGGGAAGTCAATAAACCTTTTGGTCTAGAGAGGGTTTTCTCAACTTTAGTCTGTTGACATGTGGAGAAGGATACTTCTTTGTTGTGCAGGCTGTCCTGTACACTGTAGGAAATTTAGCAGCTTTTGTGGCCTTTACCTACTAGATGTCAGAAGCTTGCATATCCTCCTACCCCTCAGTGTTATAACAATAAAAAACACCTCTATACATTGCCAGATGGCCTCTGGCGGGGGAGGCAAAAATCTCACCGGGCTGAAAACGACTTGCCCAGAGTTTTAAAAAAAAAAGCGCTCTTTGTAAAGGTCTCAAAATGGCTTCTTTTAAAAGGGGTTACTATGTACTTTTTGGTAACAAAGCACTCTTGAAACTAAAGGTGATAACATGTCAGGAACAGTCATCATAGTTTTACTCCTTTACACATTTCAGAATGAGATTTCCCACTCAAGATTTTCATTTGTAGTGGTTTAATACTCTACTGGGTTTTTCTTTCTTTCTTTCTTTTTAAATTGAGGTATAACTGACATACATTAGTAGGAAGGGTATACCTCAGGGGTACAGTGCTTGCTTAGCATGCATGAGGTCCTGGGTTCAATCCCCAGTACCTCCATTGAAAAAAAAAAAAAAGAAAGGAAGAACAATGGCTATAATTAACTAAACACATTGAATAAAATAAAGATCCATGAATCTAATGATACTCCAAGGGAAAAAATATAATTGGTGAGCAGGGTACTTTAAAAAAAAAAAAGAGAGAGACATATGTTAGTTTCAGATACATAATAATGATTCAATATTTGTATATATTGCAAAAAGATCACCACACAGTAATTCTGGTTAAAAGTTACCATCTATCACCATACATAGTTACATAATTATTTTCCCTTGTGATGAGAATTTTTAAGATTTACTCTCTTTACAACTTTTAAACACTCAATTCAGTAACTATAGTTGCCATGATATACATTACATACCCATGACTTTTGACTCCCTTCCTCCCTTTTCCCACTTTCATCTACTGTTTTTCGTGTTTATATTTTGTCATATAAGAAATATTACCTAAGATTTTGTCTGATTAAAAGATGGTTCCTGGCTGATCTTTTCTAAAGTCATATTGAAAATTCATAACGTACTGAGATATAACTTCTCAGATTTCATAAATAATAATCAACAATTTTATAGCTCTTACACTGTGTCAGGAACTACAAGGCAGATACTCTTATCCACATTTTACAGATAAGAAAAATGAATCACAAGGTTAAGTTACATGTTAGAGATTACACAGCTAGTAAGTGGCAGAAACAGAATTCAAACCCTGTTTATCTTCCATGTCTACTCTTAACCATGATACTTTATAAAGCCTCTCTTAATAGCTATTATTTGTTGAACATTTATTAATACATGTTAGGAACTATTCTAAGTATTTTATATATGTTAAGTCATTCAATCCTCACAATGAACAATGACTGGGTGAGGACTCTTGGAAGCTTGTGCCTGGTTTCCCCTGGACTTTGTCCCACACATTTTTTTTTTCCCTTTGATGATCTTGCTTTGTATCCTTTCACTGCAGTAACTCTTAGTCATTAGCAAGACAACATGCTGAATCCTGTGTATCCTGTGAACAAATCATTACACCTGGAGGTGGTCTCAGAATTACAGTTAGTATCAGATGTTTATATAAAATAAGTACTCTAGTGAGAAAATAACAAAAATATTTGTTCAGCATAGAAAATGTTTACAAAGTATTTGTAAGTATGAAATAAATGCTTATTTGTCTCCTTAAATGGACTATGAATGAGTCACCTCATCAAGTACTTAAGACAAAGAGCGTAATTAAAAAATAAATATCTCACCTCAAACAAGTGAGAATAAAGAATTCCATATTAATAATAACCACAGACTTTACATCCACTATTTATTGGGTGCCTGCTATGCGCTAATACTATCCTGAGTGCTTTACATCAGCTATGTAATTCTCACAAAAGCCTTTCAGATGCCTCTATATATCTCCATTTTATAGATGAGTTATTGAAGCTCAAATAATCTACCTAAATTGCTCAAAGGCCAGAGAGGTAGTACAAGACAGAGATGGAATTCAAATCTAGGTTTATCTGACTCCAAAGCCATTATATTTTACTAAGACTCCAAGACAGCATAACAAAAGAGGCTAACAAAGTAAATAGTTACTTTAATTTCACACTTAAATAACAATGTGAGCAGAGAAAAATTTTACACTTGATATTAATAACAACAACAACAAATAGATTTAGTAACTTCACTAAATTCCATTCAAAGCAGCTATGGCAAAAAAAAAACTTTCAAATAATCACTATTAGGTATTTAACAGATAATCATAATGAAAACTTACTTTATCAGTCAGTGAAATGCAGTAAAAATAGACACAGTAACAAAAGCATTAATAACAAAGAAAATTCATAACATAACTTACCATTCTTCTTTTATACTTTCAAGATTATCTACTTCTTTCATTCTCTTCTGCCTTACTGTAAAAGTAAGTAAGTAAGTAAGTAAGTAAATAAATAAATAAAAGCTAAAGTCCTTAATATAGTATATATTTTAGTAATTTTTTATTGAAGTAGTCAGTTACAATGTGTCAATTTCTGGTGTACAGGACAAAGTATATACATACATATATTCCTTTTCATACTCCTTTTCATTAAAGGTTATTACAAGATATAGAATATAGTTCCCTGTGGTATATAAAAGAAACTTGTTTTTTTTATCTATTTTTATTCATAATGGCTAATATTTGCAAATCTCAAACTCTCAAATTTTAATATAGTATTCTAAATAAATTCATTCCAATGGATGCATTAATACTCTTTAAACATTAAGTTATTATACAGCCCTAAAGTAGCTTAAAGGGTTCTTAAGAACAAGTGATCAGACTCAAAGCTGTCACTTTCATCTATAAAGCAATAATAAAAAGTAAATTTTGGTTTTGGACAATCTTCTGACAGAAGAAAGATTTTGTAAAAGTTATGATTAAAAAAATTATAATGTAGCTTTTGGTTTAATAACAAAAAAAGTGAATGAAAGCACTTCACTCAATCTCTAATAGTAACAAAATATCAAATCAATATAAACTCATCCTTACAATTCCCCTGGAAAGCAAACCCACCAGATGTATTTACATGTTGTACAAATATTCGTATTTTTTGATCTTGATCTTCCACATTTCTCAAAACTTAAAAGAACAACAAAGTAAGCTATACACATAAGATGTCAACCACAGCTGTTATTTGTTAGCAAGAACTGAAAGTAAAGTAAATGGTCATGGTGTAGCTGTTTGATGGGATAATATGTACCTGTTAAAAATAATTATGATGCTGTTTATGTGGCCAAATATAAAAAGATATCACAAAAGTGAAAATACAAGAAACAAAATTATTCATTAACTAGGAATGCAACAGAATGTATACAAGAAAATAGAGAAGAACAAAGGTGAAAATAATTGTTGGGGGTAATAAAATTACGGATTATTTTCTCTCTTTCCCAAACTTAATGCAACACTGTTTTGCCTCTATAACAAAAATAATGTAAGAAATTAGCAAACAAATCAATGTTTAAAATAGTCCAAGTCATCTGCCCACTGAGAAGTCCTGGAAGCAATGACATACTAGAAGCAATAAGCATACCAAGTGCAGACATCTTGGTTTCTAAGTACAATTTTCCTAAAAAAAAGGAATCATGGCTCCTTAGAGAATAGGCTGATTCCAGGGCTGGGGCACAGAAAGAACAAATGAGTTGGAAATTACTTCTTGCTCCGCAAATGTAAGATGGTACTCAGTGAATGATGAAGACATATCAAAAGGATACAGAAGTTGCGATAAAGTCGTGGGAAGCGAGCACAAGAACTGTATGGTACGTCTCAAGGCTGCTGTGGACCCTTCCCCAAACCAGGGGAAGGCAGTGCCCTGCGCCATCTTTGCATAGCTGCCAGCGTGCAGGGCCCTGATTCTAGAAGGTGGGTCCACAGCACCACAAAGGAGTTTAAGATATCCATGTCCACCAGTGTGTTATCCTTGAATAAAGCATGAGCTTTGGAAGCCCAGACAGGGGCAGTGCCCCTTCGCATAGACTCAGGGCTAGCCTGGTGACTGAAGGACTTAAGGTTTGGAATTCTCTTGGGGAAGTTATGTTGGGATGGCTGGGATGCCTACGTAATGCTTCCTGCCACTTCAACAGCAGGCTGTGACATGAAGTGAAGAGCCACATGCCTTCTACCTGGGTACTATGGATTTTGCTGATGCAAAGGATGTCCCATATCTGGTGTTGAAGAGACCTTAAAAACTTCACATCTTTCCTGCATTAACCTGTGTGAGAAGCTGTCAACTTACTGGAGGAGGGGAAACTGCCTAGAAATTTGGGGGCACTTAAATATCAATTAGACAGCCTTTAGTTTGTCTTTAGTATATACTTTATCAAAAGGATTTCAATAAAATATTTTAAAGCCAAGAAAAAAGAAAAAAAAAAGACACTGAAGCCACGTAAAGGAGCACTCACTGGATAAACATGGACCTGGGAAATGGGACATCAAAGTAAATAATGATACTAATGGATTATAACTCACTGAATAAATGACCAAAAACCCATGAGGAGTCCACACTATAAGATTTTTTAAAAAATCAGGAAAAGATGGACTTTTAAATAAATTCAACAGTCTTATGGAGTCACCATTACCAAGATAAATTTCAAATACATCCAAGATTTAAAATTTAAAAATTGAACTTGAGAGTGATGTCAGAAAAATGGCAGAATAGGCAGCTCCAAGCTCCTGTCCCCACAGAAACATTAAAAAACAAGCAGAAACTGTCCAACTTAGTTTGAACCCTGGAAAGCAGTCAAAGGTTTACAGCAATCAAGCAATGTTGAATCAAAAAAAAAAATACAACTTAAAAATAGCAGGCAAAACAAACCAACCCAAAAATGGGCAAAAGAGTTGGAACAGACATTTCTCCAAAGAAAATATATGAAGAGCCAATAAGCACATGAAAAAAGATGCTCAACATCACTATTTACAATGACATACCACTTTACACACATTTGAATTATTTAATAAAAAAAAACAAGTGTTGACAGGGATGTGGGGAAATTAGAACCCTGGTATAATGCTGGTGGGAATGTAAAATGGCACAGCTGTTGTGAAAAAGAATTTGGGTGGCTGAGACATTATTTACAATAGCCAAGAGATGGAAACAATGAAGATGTCTATCAATAAATGAATGTGTAGACAAATGTGGTATCTACATAAACAGAATATTTAGCCATAAAAGGGAATGAAATTTTGATACATACTACAACATGAATGAACCTTGAAAACATTAAGTGAAAATTATTGCCTAATGTGCATAGGGTTTCTGTTTGGGAAAATGAAAAAGTCTTGGAAATGGATAGTGGTTATGGCTGCACAACACTGTGAATATAATAAACACCACTGAATTGTACAGTAAAAATTGGTTAAAATGGCAAATTTCATGTTTTATATATATACACATATACATGTATTTTATCGCAATAAAAAAACTTACACAAAGGCAAACTCGCTAATTATTAAAAGAAAACATGGTAAATGTCTCCATAACTGGAAGAGAGGACAACCTTCCTATAACTCAAATCCAGAACCAATAAGGGAAAAGACAGATACATTTAATTATATAAGGGGAAAAAAAATTCAAACTTCCACAAAGTAAAAAGATAAATGACAAACCCCCAAAAAGTGAACTGGCATTACAAGTAAAACATTAGTATATAAAGAACTGATACAAAGAAAAAGGCCAGCAATCAATAAGCAACAAATATGAGCAGACTTCTCAGAAAGAGAAAAGCAAATGGCCTTAAAATATGTGAAAAGATGTCAGTCTCACTTATAATGAGAGAAGTGCAATTGAAACTATACTATGATCCCCATTTCTCACCAATCAGATTGGCAAAAATTCACAAGTCTTGCAAAACATTTTGTTGCTGAGAGTATGGGGAAACAGCCTTACACATTCTTGGTGGGAATGCAAAATGGTACATCTCCTAGAAAGGGAATTTGGCAATACTTAGGAAAGTTATATATGCATATGACAAAAACTCTCTCCACCAAACTGCAGTCAGGTTCCTCTGAGGAATCTTCTCAAGGAGGTCTGAACTTGGGCTTCCATTTCTGCCTTTGTAGAGCCCAATTTTAGCAAGAATCCTGTTAAGTAAGTTTAGCCAGAATCCCTCACCCTTGATATCTAACCAAATTCCTCATTGCCCACCATCCTTACAGATGACACTTGATCACACTGGCCTGCCTTCAGCAAGAACCCTGTAGGTCAGTTTAGCAAGAATGCCTCCTTGCCTTCAAAGTTTCTTAGTAATTTTCCATCCATTGACCCTTACCTTGTTTTTGGCTGTAAATCTCTACTTGTTCATGATATATTCAGGACTGAGTCCAGTTTCACACTGAAGTCTCTTTATCCTTATCGCATAGTTCTTGAGCAGAATCTGGTTTTACTACTTTACTGTCCAGTTCTGTTTTTTATTTTGATGCATATATCCAGAAATCCCAGTATCTAGACAATCTATCCCAATGGTATTTTGGCAAAAATATAAAAAGGTGAATGCACAAGATTATTCACTGCAGGATTATTTACAGCATTGACTGTTACAGCAAATCCTACAAAAACCCCAACTGTCCATTAACAGGGATTTGTTGAACAAACTGGTAAATCCACACAGTGGAATGCAGCAGTAAAAAAGAATTTTTAATGGTTGCAATCAATAGGATATACTGTTAAGTGAAAAGAGCAAAATGAAGAAAATTATGTATAATATACTAGTGTTTATCTAAGAAAGAGGTAGACAAGAATATACGTTTGTTCATATTAGAAAAAAAATGAAAAAGTAAACCTTAAAAAATAAAATTAATAAGGTTACCTATAAGCTGGGAGAGAATGGACAGGGTGAAGAGGGGAAGGGTAGAAGCTGGATTTCTCTGAATATACCTTGTTTTTTAGATCAACTTTGGACCCATGTAAATACTTATAATACATAAAACATGCTAAGTTTTTAAAAAAGCAATCCTTAAAAACAAAGTTAAGATGAAACAAATTAATAAAACTGACAATCAAGTTGGTAGGAAAACCACTTGGAGACAAATTATTTAAAGTAATTTTAAACATAGTAATTTTACTGTATATTCTAGTGGGATGAACCCAATGAGGAAAAACAGTTTCTAGTAATCATACTATCAGCAATAATATATTAGTATTGTTTTAATATATTAGTATTAGTATTATTTTAATGAAGCTATGGTATAAAGATGAAGCAGCGGGTCTCAACCAGGAGGCAACTGTGACCCTCAGAAGACATTTGGGAACAGCTTGGAGGAAATTCTGGTTGTCACAACTGGGGTGGAGGATGCTGCTAGTATCTAGTAGATGAGGTCAGGGAAGCAAAGGACAGCCCCCACAAGAAGGTATTGCCCAAAATGTCAATAGTGCTGAAGCCGAAAAACCTTGAGATAAAGAAGTAACTATGATCTGTCCCCCCAAACCAAGATTTTCTTCAGAGTAAGAGTTAGAGTTAGAAACATAAAAATTAAAGAAACCAAGTTAAAATTCTGTAATCCTAAATTTTATTTTATTTTTTTAATTTTTTGAGGGAGGAAGTAATTAGGTTTTATTTATTTTATTAATGGAGGTACTGGGGATTGAACCCAGTACCTTGTGCATGCTATGCACGCGCTCCACCACTGAACTATACCTCCGCTCCAATCCTAAATTTTCAATTGGAAACATCAGTATGAACTTATGCTGTTGAGAAAATACATAGTAGCTCTGTCCAATGAAAGCCAAAAAAGTAGTAACAACACCTAGTACCTCAATTTGTTGTCTCCAAATACCATTTCCCACCAAAAGGAATCAAAGTTTCTTAGAGAAATGGATGACTCCAGGTCTGGGGCAGGAAATGTGTACTTACGCCTTGTATTGACATTTTGGATTAGTGTGAAAACGATTCAAGAGTCAATTTGAAGTCTCAAAAAAGGAAAAACAACTATGTGAATTGAAACACATCAAATACAAGCTCATACTGATACTCATTAAAACAAACTCAATTCACTGGTCATCTTCCCAGTGAAAACTAGCAAATAAGAGATAGAATCAAGTATTCATCCTGCCTTTCCTATATGAACCCAGAGTAAGAATTAATAAAAGAAGTTTCCTTTGCAAATGAATTCAGTTAAACAAAGGATTACAGAATTAGAGTATTCCCAATTTGCAATCCCTAATGCAAACTGATCTAGGCAATGATACCAATGGCTGCTAGCATCACGAAAAGAAACCAGACATAAATACATGCCTCAGCATGAAAGCCCAAACCAAGTGTGAAGAATTCTTTCCAAAAATGTGAATCTAACTCCATTCAAGCCTCTAGATCTAACCATTAGATTACAGGAAATATAGGGCACAGAGGAACATGAACAGATGACATCACAGGGATGCAATCAACAAAACCCAGAACGTGGAAATTCTTCAAGAGAAATGTTCCATATTCTTCAACATATATATTACCAGGGAGAAAAAATAAGTAGATATAATCTTTTAAAATATTCAAGAGATATATCAACTAATTAAAATATATGGGCCATATTTAGATTATCATTTAAAAAAACTAATTGGGAAAAAAGCTATGAAAGAATCAGGAACATGTGAACATTGACTAGATATTTAATGATATGTTGAGTAATTGTTAATTTTAAAGATGCGACAATGGGATTGTAGTTATAATCTTTTTAAAGTACTTATTTTAGCTACATACTGAAATATCTAGATGAATTTCCATAACTAGAATTTGCTTAAAAATAATCAAGTGTAGTGGGGAGTGGAAGGACTATAAATAAAAAACAAAATGGCTTTGACTTGATAATTACTGAACCTGGGTAATAGTATACATGAGAGTTTATTATTCTCTACATTTTCATGTTTGAAATTTTTCATAATAAAAATTGAGATAAAAAAGCGATCCTAAAAACATACACATGTAGAGTCCTACAATGTCATTTCATTACCGTCTTAATAAGCCAGTACTTTTGTTCTAGCAGTAAACTGCTCAGTAATCCAAGAATGGCAGTACTTCCAAAGATTTGTATCCTCAGTGAAAAATGTGCTTCTTACTCCCTAAATTACAAATGTGAAGTGATGAAAAGTACTATGAACTCATACTTAAAGAGACAAACATGAGAATTAGATTTATCCTGTTTAGGACAAAGAAATTTGTAAAAGAGACAACCAAAAGAGCTCCATAAGACGTTCGACTCATGGCTTGAAGGCAATGTGGGCACAGAGAGAAATTCTAGCAGTGCATAGATGTGGTACGTGAAGTCAAACACAGACAATAGTTATAAACTGTCTATTGTACAATTAAAGTTATCAGCTGTCTAGGGGGGAGACGATAGCTCAAATTGTAAAGCGCATGCTTAGCATGTATGAGGTCCTGGGTTCAAACCTCAGTACCTCTTCTAAACAATAAATAAGCCTAATTACCTTCCCCCGGGGAAAAAAAAAAACAACATTAAAGTTACCAGCTGTCAAAACTGAAGTTAGGAAAAATCAGGTCTGTTCTATATAACCTGGAATGTCTGGTTATTTAAGGAAAACATAAACAAACTGATTATGGAGATAAAGGAAAAAAAATCCAGACTTTTTAACGTTTTAAAATTAAGTAAGTTTTAAAAAATTCAGAGTGCAATGTTTTAGTAAATGTATGTAGTTATAATTCATGACTAGACTTTTAAAAGTGACCCAAAACCAGATTATAATTATTTCTTATATGTGCTTAAAAGACAAATAGTTAAGAAAATATTACTGTTGGGTCACAATAGGTTGTTTATGATAATGAAGGTCCCAGAGTCTACTCTATAGATTTGAAACTAAAGCAAAACACTTTACTGAAAAGAAGACATAATCAAGCTAGACATTTCCACAAAGCATTAAAAATATTTCAACTCTCAGATAGACCTATAGCAAATACAGAAAATATCAAATATAGAAAATATTGAATGTTTCTTAAATTTGTATATAAAAAGCAAATACCTCTATTTAAAAATGTAAGTTTTATCTAATTACCTCCCAAAATAAAAATGAATAAATAAATAAAAATGTAAGTTTTAGGTATATTTAAATAGAAGGTAGCCCTGCTTAGTAATAGCCACTGAAGATCCACCAGACCCATTCCAAAGTAGTGAGAGCCAGAAAATGGGTACTATGAGCAGTAGCATACTGCTCCCATTAAGGTCTCCAAGGTATCTGGAGGTGAATTTAATAGGGGTAACTGAGGATTCAGCAGCAGCCTTTCACCAGACAACATCAGTCAGAATGATCTTAGATCCTCACTTCCACTCCAGTTTCCCACTGCTAATGGAACCGGGCTCATAACCACAGTCAATTTGGCTGGAGCACTGATTCCCATTTAGCCTCTGTTTTGCTAGGAATGAAAGCAGGATAGTGGAGTCAGCTCTGGAAAATACCATTGAAAACTGTTTTAAATGCCTCTATTGTTTTCATTATGAACTGAATATAAACTGATAGTGAATGTTTTTCTTAGCCTTTTCATAACAAAATTGTGAGCAATTCTGAGAGGCAAGGGGAAACTGAAAGGAAGGCAAAAGGAAGAAATGCAATGAGGCAGAGGAGTGAGTACCCAACATAAAGGGCACCTGCAATGGCACCCCCAACAAGAGCTTCATGCTCTACCTTTTAGCTAGAGGGTAAGGGAAGAGTCACTAAAGCCACAGTATCCAAGGGGATGGCATCCAACCATCAATGCAAACTGGATGGCTCTATTGTCTCAAGAAGGCATTTTGTATTTCTAACTCTTAATGTATCACTCTTCAAAATCATTCCCTAGACTTAAAAATGAAAACAGGCCATTATTTCATCCGAAGAATCTTAGTCAATATTTATTAAATGTAAGGCACTGGATTAGGCATTAGATTTACAAAGTAAGAAATCATATAAGCGGGAAGATATTTTTTATAATCTCTAAAGTGTATATCATCTTAAATGGGTTATGTGACTAAATAAACTATATACTTTAAAAACACAGCCATTAAAAATGACTTAAATGTAAAATACAGCATTGTCAATGTTCTTTTGAGTTTGCAACTGTTTATTACTTTAAATAGACAAACATAATTATACCATCTCTGGGCCAAGGATGAATCTGAGGTCTAAAAGGAAAAAAATAGTGTACACTTTTATTTATGGCGTTGGAAAAACTGACCTAAAACCATTAAAAGGATGTGAGAAGGAAAAGCGGGTAAGCATAAGAGAGCTAAAACAGTTATCTATCCTGATAGCAATATAAAATGTAATGTTCAAGATCAGTAACTCAAAATATACACACTGTTTAGAAATATGGCTATAAATTACAGAAGAAATAGCTATGAGTTCAAAGTAGTTGTCTTTAGGGAAAGGAAGTGGGAGCATTTTGAGTTTTAAGTCTTCTAACACTACGTATTTGCCTTTTAAACTATGTGAATATATTACTCTGATGAACAATTTTAAAAAACAGAAAACAAACTCAAAACATATTTAGAAAGCCAGAATTTCATGGTTTTTCTCCTAAGACCTTGTCCTTCAAATCTTATTTCCAAAACTAGTTGCTTCACTTAAAAAACTGCATTCCTTTCAAACATATACAAAAGAATAAAAAAAATATATAAACAGCCACCTCAACCATTCAGATTTCAAAAGTTTCTATTTTGACTTGTTTCCTTCTTTTATACTAAAGGAAAGCATTATACACTTAAATATTGTTTCATTTAAAAATACTTAGTACATGGTATGTCTTAAACATGTGCATCTTAGTGCACATTAATTATACCTAAATAAAGTTGCTTAATATATTAAAATGTATATTTATTCAGCACACACTATATACTATATATACTATTTATCTATATATACTATATATACTATTCTAGGTGCTTGGGATACGTACTGAACAAAACAGACAAAAATCCCAGCCCTTCTGGACATTACATTCTGGTAGTGCTGTTTGCTTTTCACTTGACAGCTTTCCAACAGTATTTTCAACTACTCTAAAATAATCCCTTAGTTTAGATATGATCTTAACTGTCTCATAAACATAACATGTTCATTTCACTTCTTTGTCCACATTGTCTCCATCCTTCTAGGCATCTGAACCTTAGTGATCCTTTAAGTCCCAGCTCAAGATCTACTGTAAAGGTGAAGTATTAAATTCCTATTAATATTCCTCTCCTAAAGCATTTAGATTTTTGGCATTTAAATCATACTGTCTGATATTATTTACTATTGTTTCTTTTAGTTCTCTCTACTGGATCCAAGATCCTTGAGCACAATTTTCATGACTTAAACATTTCCTGTTCCTTCCAGGGTGCTGAGCAAGTGCAAAGCAAGGAGCAGCCATCTTTAAAGTACTTCACTATGTTTCCCTTAATAGGTGACTATTCTCTAGCAAATCGCTAATATATTTCATTACTTCAGAGTTATAAACTACTATAAATTGTTTTTATTTGTTTCATGACAGCAGGAGAATACAGAACAGACCTTGGATTCAAAGTGACCTGTAATGCCATACTGCCTACATAATATCTGAGCTGGGTGATTTACATGTTAACTTCTCTAAGTCACAGCTGCCTAACTTCTAACTTGGAGATAATCCTCCTCCTAAGGCTGTTTTGAGAACTGAAAGAAATACTGAGAATAAACTAATATTTTGCTCCTTTCTCTTTTCCCAGCCCCTGGTCACAAACTCTGGTACAAGGATTTATGGTAAGAAACACCTTCAGACTGTCTTAAAACTTTTAATTTTGATATGGCTAAGAAATTTTACTTTTAATTTCATTAATTAAACTTAAAAAAAAATCTGTATACTTAATAAACCTCCTACCACTGTGTGCAAGGCACTGCTTCAGAACTAATGACAGAAGGAACAGAAGGGTCAATAGGACAGATCCAGTATCTACTATCAAGGAGTTTATAGACTAACAAGGAAAAAAACATACTGAATTACTAATTGCAAACATGGCATAGAATTATGAAGTAAAAACTGATTATAAACAAGTTTCTACTATATAACACAGGGAACTATATTCAATATCTTGTAACCTATAATGAAAAAGAAATGAAAA